TGGTGCTGCCCAAAAATTTAGCTTTGACTTCTTAAAAAAAACAGAGAACTGGGCCTTAGTTGAGAAAGCAAATTTTTTTTACATTGGAGGTTTTTTGCTTACAGTGAGTCCAGATTCTGTACTATATGTATCCCAGTACTGCTCAAGTGTCAAGAAGACTCTGGTCATGAACCTCCACGCCACATTTCTCTGTGATATATTTGCTGATCAAAAGCTAGGTCTCTTGCGGCATATTGATATTCTTTTTGGGAATGGAGATGAAGCTCAAGCCTTAGCCAAAGCCACTGGTTTGAAATCAGTTACAATCAAAGACATAGCAGTGGAGGTAGCATCATTGCCTAAAGTCAATTCTGACCGGCCTCGTATTGTGATATTCACCCAGGGCAAAGACCCAACTTATATTGCCACGGAAGGGAAAGTACAAGAAATGCCAGTTGATCCTATTGATCCATCACTTATCAAGGACACTAATGGCTGTGGTGATGCTTTCGTGGGTGGTTTTCTGTCTCAGTTGGTGCAGGGCAAACCCTTGTCAGAATGTTTGCGATGTGGTCGCTATGCAGCCAAGGTTGTCATTCAACACTTTGGTTGCACTTTTGATGAGCGTCCTGATTTTGTCTAAAAATTTATTTTTTTTTAAAGCTGCTTTTAAGCCCATTATACATTTCTTGCTATTTTTTTTAGCTACCAAACAGAAAAATTAATAACAAAATCTCTTGCTTTATATTAACATGAGATAAATTGAGTTTGTGTTACTCTTGCAGATTTGAGAAAATTACTTTTTGGCACAAAGAATAGAAATGTTCGTTGTCAAAAAAAGACAAGAATGTGTGTGTGTAAATCCCAGCTTCTGTATCCATCTCCTGATAATTTGTCTTACCTGATTACTGTATACAGTTAGCACACACACTGCCTCCCATCTGGCTTATAAACTTGTAAACACTATGGCTGATGTGCCCTTGTTATGTTGTTGTTAAATGGTTTTTTGCATGCAAAGCTTGGATGTGATATTTAACTGACCTATAAAAAAGGCATGGAGGTAGTATGTCAATACAGCTCAGTGTTCATAAAAACTTTCTTATATTTATGGGCTTTATCATGCAAAAATTAAATGTTTTTTAAAACTGCTTTTCATTGCAATTGATTTTGATATCTGAATATATTTCATAATCATCAGAAAATATCTAAAATTTAGAAACGAGTGCATTATAAAATTTATAATAATCTTTAGAAAAAAAACTTTACATTAAAAAAGGGTTTCTGTTTGAATATTAGGGCTGCATACTAAATACTATCTTCATGCCAAGGTCATCAAGTCATCAAACACTTGTGATATGGATGTTTATATGAATGTTAAGTGTTTTTTTGTTAGTTTGTATAGAAGCCTCACTAGAGTTAGCACTATTAGATCTAACATGTGTTAGTGTTCAATTGTAATTATAAATCTGATTTCAAACATGCAAATTGAATGTTCTTTGTGTTGTTATTCCAGTGAGATTAAGAAAGCTATTTATTTGGTAACTGCCATCTCTTAAACTTTCCACAATTATTGCTCAATATATAATCAATATATATATATATAAATATATATACTCTATGTGCTGTATTAATAAACTTAGGCAAGCTTTGTAGAGAACACCATATTTTAGAAACTGGATGATAGAATGAGAGCATTATACTATTAGAAGAATGCAGAGCAGTTGTCATTGAACTCAGCTAATAGAAAGGAGAAAATGTGGTCATGACATAGAACTGAACTTATCCCACAAAACATAACACGGTGTGTTTGAGTCATGACAGTTGGCTATGGTAACCTGTTGTGTATACCTATTGGATGCAAAAATGTATTATGAAAATGATCTTTAAATAGAAACGAAACTGGCATTGTATTCCATCTTTCACATTATCCACATTGCTATAGCAGTGACCTTAAAATGGCATATCAGTAAATACATGATTTTCTTTCAGTCTACCTAATCATTGAAGTTTAGATGTCTAGATGTGAACAAATTATTCTCCTTAATGGTACTGATTTGGAATGGTATTACACTTTGACTTGATCTAATTTTATGACAATACAATGTATAAAGTGTAATATAAAATGTATTATTGAATTAGGAACAATGCATTTGTTGTGTTTTATATTTGATAATGTAGAAACTAGCTTCATTTATATATTTATAAAATATCTTTGCTACATATTAATATTATTTTCTGGTAACTTAGGAAAATTATGTAGTTTTAAATTTCATATTTGTTACCTGTAGACTTGAACATCAAAAAAAAAAAAAAAACAACACCATCTAACTTACATGAATCATTTTATTGCATTTTAAAACTTATATTTCAATACAATTTGGTTTACATTTTGCTTTTTATAAGCCCAGTGTTTAAAAATTCATATAAAAGATAATAGTGTGCTGTTTATTATCAACCTAGGATTTAGAAGTTTTCAGAGTAGTAAAAGTTACTTTGGTGCATTTGATTATTATATATTTATTGAAAGAACTATTTCTATTATGTATTTGTATAGTTTAACTAAGATTGCTATGCTTTCTTATGTTATTCTTGTCATTTGGTGAAAAGCTGTCTTGAGGAAAAAAATATTACTGTTCAATTTTTTTCTCTTGTAAATCTAGTGAACAAGTCCATATATGTGTGTATGTACCACAGTTTCTTTTGTGACATTTAAAAAAAATATAATGTAATTAGTTTCAGTAGCTCATAATAACTGTATGTGTTTTTCACTTTGATGCTTAACAGTCATGGATATAGGAGTAGGCTTACCTTAAACACTTATGATTTTATGTGTGGGGCAGATTTGTTAAAATAGTCTTGTTTTTTTTTTTAACACCTCTTTCAAGAAGCAATACATAGTTATGAAGGTAGTTATTAGAGTGTGTTCCACTTCTTTGTTCAATTTGAGCTTTCTTCAAATTTAATTGCATTTTAAAGCCTTTCACATTATTCAGTCTTGCCATATTCCTATTTAAAATCTGTCTTGTTCAAGGAAGTGGTCAAATTAAACATTCTCATTGTAAAATAAATTCTATGCTTTTTATCTATTTGTTTTTTAAATTAAAAAAATGGGTCAGCAAATTGCATAATTAAATATTTTTTTAGACACTAAATGCGGAAAATGAATAAGGAATTTAATTTAACCTAGACCCTCTTCTCCCTCTATACTTTTATGTACTATGAAACCTTGTTATATATTACATGATTTTATTGATTAATTGTAATATTATACTGTCTATTTTGTAGTTTGCCTTAAGACCTGGCCAAACTCTATGGAAATGAATAGGCTTTCAATAGGCTAATTGATTGAATTCAAGCATTTGTTTATTTCAAATATTCTATACAGGCAGACATGTTGAAATTGTTAGATTATATAGATATTAAAGAATACATGATTGTTTTTCATCACTAAGTTATATCAAATGTTTGACATTATCAGGCATCTGTTAACATGAGATGGTTCAAAAAATCATGTTGAAAAGAAACTAATACACTTAAGTTAGAGGCAGAGGTATGTCAATAATCTATGAATGCATATTATTCAGTTAAATAAATATGAAAACAATAGTAGAAAACCAAGACCCCAACCATCTTATCCTACAATCATTCCTTGATTGATCCACATTAACCTTGATCTGGTATTTTTAAAATGACTTTTAATAATTCATTAAAAAGTAATTGTAGAATCAGCTACCTAAAAACGAAACATGTGTAAATGCCCTTGAACTCACCAATGATAAATATAACTCACTAACTTAAATTAAGCACAGCGTAAAACAAAGAAGTTAAGTGTGTCGTGAAGTTCAAAATAACATGTCTTAAGGCTGTATGTATTTTTACACAATTAGCTGTAAGCAACTTGAGAAAGAGAAACAAATTATTGAAATAAATCCATTAGTTTTTGTTATTGAAATTTAGTTGCATTACATTTTCTCTTTGCTTACAACTATTTTCAAATTTATAACTTCTGTCATCCCCTGCTGTCCTTCAGGAGGTTTGAGTTAGGACATAATCTTCATTTCTTAAGGAATATCTGACATGTATATAAGTTCTGATTACTTATGTCAAAGAGATTCAAAACTGTAGACACATATTTATAATTTATAGATATTCCTTAATAAATATTTCTATACATACATATATCCATTGTTCTAGTCACTTATAATATTTAGTATTCCAAATTTTACCAGTTACATAAAAAACTTTAAATTTTGTTCATTGCAATTTTCTAAACTGTTAATTTATAGCTAGATGTTGTGTTCCTCTGTAGACTTAAATTATTATTTCTTAATTTACTGTTGTATATAATGTATGTGCTCTGTACATAGTGTTTGTGGATGGCTGCCTGGTCCTGCGGTTTGTGCGCTGGATTGTCGTTCAGATTTATCGGTGGTCCAGGGTTCAAACCCTGCCCGCTCCCATCTCCTGTCGTCCTGCGGGAGGTTTGGACTAGGAAGTAATTATCTTCAACTCTGAAGGAACATCCGAAACGTAAAACAAACATTTTTTTAACTTGATGACATTGTTAGTAAAAAAAATTTTTAGCTCATGTTTGTTCGCTTACACGCTTAGAATATTACATAGTTAGGATAAGATTTTCTTGTGTTTTTTTCATTAATTTTTTTTTTCTCCTTTTAATAAAAAAGTATTTATAAGAAACTCTCGTGTCCTTATTGTGAATGTGTGTTACTTGATGTACTGCAACATTGCTTGGGTTTTTTTTTTGTTTTGCTTTAGAGTTAATAAGTTGAGTTACCACTTTAATTTATGACAATGATGGTGAATGGATTGAACTCATCTTTAAGACCTAGATTTACATCTACTAGATTACATTGTGTAGTTGTGTTGCTAGATATCACTCTGGAATCAGTGAATTAATAGATGGAAAGATGTATGAATAAGTTTGTCCCATGTGATGTCTTGTATTGTCTACTCAAGGACTACTGCTGCAATGTATGTCCCAGAAACTCAGGGGTTTTCATCTTTTTTTTTTTTTTTTGCCAGGATAGGCAGTCATCATTGCATTTATAAGACCCACTGGGGATAGTCAGACTTCTTTAGCTCTTTAGTTTGTATTAAATTTCTTTTTAGGTATTGAAAGTAGACACAAAAAAATGTGTTTCGACATTTATTTCTTTTGGAATCTCATTTCCCTGTCTCTCCACATTTGACTCTGCTGAATCCAAAACACCAAACTAACCCAGTGGTTCTTACCTTCCCCATTCTTTTATTATTTCAATTATGCACTGGATGATTGAAACTGGAAGGTATTGGTCACAAGCCTATATCATTTATCAAACACGTTTTAAAAATACTTTTTTTTATTTTACCTTTTAAATAATGAAGGAAAGAATAATAGTAGTGAAGAAATAGATTAATTATTGTTAAATCAATTTCAAACATTGCAAGATCACTTTTAAGTTGACATTATCAAACTGTTTTGTAATTTATAATGTTCACCATCCATTATGAAAATGTCTACAGGGAAAATTCTAGAACAAATAAAAATGTAGAAAGTCTAGTTTTTTTGTTTGTTCTGTTAGCTCTTTATGTTCTTTATGATGTAGCTAGTGATACAGTGATTTCCTGTTTCAGTCGCCAGATCAAAGGATGATATCCCGGTTTTTATGTACAGTCCCTTCAATGGGAATATTTCACCAGACATTTCTATTTATAAGTCCATAGTTGTTTGTTTGACTTCTCCATATTGTACTATGATGTTTGTCTTAGAACTAATCAATCCAATTGAAAACTATATTGATCAAGATTTCTCAAGAATAAAATGTCAGTCTGAAGTATGCTGAACTAATGTATCTCATAGACATAGTGCTTCCATGTCCTAAGAAATATAACAAGCTTGAGCAGTAATTCATATTTATTGTTGTCTATGCAAATACATAATTATAATCTTTTTTTTTTTTTTTTTTTTCGTATTTTCTGTAAATTAGCTATTCACTTCTAACATACATTTTACGAATTCTATGTATTTATTTTTGTTAACTAGTATACTTGAATCGAAATGAAGTTTGCCTTATCAAAGCAGAGTCCAAGCTATATTGCCTAGCCAAATGTTTGAGGTAGTTCTCTCCCTTCACTGTCAGACAGCTATTTATCTTTCTGTTGTAACAAGGTCTTGTTCTAGCAATGCAGTTGTAAAATGCTGTCAATGTCTGTGTTATTTATATTTGTGTAATATCCGATAGACGGTATAGGCAGTTTACTATTATGCCATAATAAGCTAAATGTATTTAGACAAGGTGTAACTCTTTTTTTTTTACCCTGCACATGAACCAACTGATTTTGTTGTATGTGTGTGAAAAATGGTCTATGACATTGTTTAAATTGTGTAAATAAAAGAAAAAAGCAATTAATCTCAAGAATGAACATCAGAAAGAAAATTTGTACTCAAGACTTAGAGGGTGTAGAAAGAATGATATGATGGATGTTCCTCCTTCGCAGGCGAAGATGAGCACTGATTTAGTATTCAACATGTTTGTGTGTTCTTATGGTTGTAAAGAAACAAGGTTATAAAAATCAACATGTCCAAATGGGCAGCAGTGTACATTGCGAGAGTACAGTCGATATTGTATTACTGCACTCAGTTTTTTGCTTTTTGTGTATTGATGTGATTATTTATAACCACTTAAACCTGACGCTTCTTAATTATTATTTTGCTGATTTCTAATCTGTCTTTAATGTAACCTTGAACAACAAAAAAAATAATAAAAAATATTTTCCCAACAAATCTGAGTTTTTATTTTGTGTTTTATACTTATTAAATTTCATTTTTCAACACTTGCATTTAGTTTCACCACCCTAAGTGTCTTGTATCAATTAGCACTTCTATCAAATTACAGTTAGTGCAACAATTTTGGCATCTCAGAACTTAAAATACTCTTAGTAGCCCATCAAATAATTATTTTGTGTGATTTGTTTTGTTATGGCTAGATTTATACTTTTTATTTGAATAAGAATTTTTAGTTGATATGATCAAGTTTCATTATATGAATTGTACTTCACCCCCCTCCTTTCTGTGCAATAACAAAGCACATTACTGTTTATCAATGCTGAATAATAGTTCAAAAGGATTTAGTTTTACAATGGAATATCATGGCAGCTTAGTGATAATTCACAAATAAAATTTAATAACATATATATATATATATATTTAAAAATATTAACTGAAAAACTCTTAAATGGGAAAAAATGTGAGTGCTCTCTAAAAAACAGTTTTTGATTAAAATGCAAGTGTGGGGCACTGAAGTACAAAATGTCTTGTGAAAATGTGTGAAGTTGATACTTGAATGGTGATGATATACAGGGATTGCATAAAAAAAAAATTACTACTTACAGAAAGCTTTAATGGTTGGACTGATTTATTTGTATTTCAATTCTTTTTTTTGAAACCTGTTACTAATTGAACAGATTTTTGTATATGTATATACTATCAACCATCCTCTCCTATTCAAAATGATTCATATTTCAACATATTGAATTTATGAATAGTTAACATATCCTGTTTTTCTTTAATTTCAACATTTACGTTATCCAATCCTCATTTAAAAGTGTTCATCTGTTACCTTTTACTGTTTGTTAAGTATTTGTTTGTATTGCTTTCTTTAAAATCTAATTATTACAATGTCTGAAAGTGTTCAAAGCAGTACGTAGTTAATTAAAAGGCTTAAAACTATTTTTAAATAAATGAGACATGGTTCCAGATGCTTTTTTAATGAATAAGTAGATTCCTTCACCAGCAGACCTGGTTCATGAACACTTTTACTATTTTTAGGTACAAATTCTTAAGGGCATTGACAAAGGTAAACAAGGAATTGTGTGTTCAACCATCAAAGAAAGAAACTGGTGCTATGTGGAGGGCCTGAATTGTGTAAGTTTACATCATCACTTGTTATCTTCCCTTTACTATCATGTTGAGATAATGTAGAATTAGCTGATGGTAAATCCTTTTTTAATATCTGATTTGCATATGTCCTAAAAATTCCAGATTTATCAATGGATGAATAAAAACAGCATCAATCCTGGAATGTTAACAAAAATAGAGAAGCCTCTATTAGTTACAACGGAAGTATCATTGGTAGATCCTAGTGACTTGTAAGTATCAATAATAAAGCACAGTGGCTTTTAAGAATCTTTAGTAGATCCAAATGATTCTTATGTACCGGTATCCTTGATAAATCCCAGTAACTTGTAAGAATGAATATTGATCCCAGGATTTTAAAAATCTTTGAGCAGTATATTCCTGTGGCTTGTATTAATTTTAGCTCCCAGTGATTTGTGTGAGACAATTACTTAAAACATTTTTAGAAATGACAACACTTTTCATTTCTTATATTTAAAGCAGTTCATTACGAAGATCACTACATTCATGGTTCCTCAATGTTCAGCATGACAGCATCTCTACAATCCAATAGTGTAATTGAAACTTTGTTTTCTTCAACTCATCACACAGCTGTTGTTTGTTCATGACTGTTAGGACTGTGTTTGTCCAAACTCAAAGGATAAAAATCAACACAAATATATAGCATTTTAATGTACCTAAAAGAGAACCAGGCACTATTACTATTAAAACCATATAGATCTGCTGCATATAATCTGAATGTAAGAGTATTTGCTAAGATTTTCCAACCTTTATCTTTTGATTCAGAAAACTTGTTGGCTACATGTTTCAAACACTGACCATATGTGTGCTGCATTGTTGTTTTCATAAGCTGACAACTGTAGTAATAAATACCATATTTTTGCATATAACCCATGGGTGTATACACGTTTATACAAACAATTGGCAACTGTGCATGGTATACAAAGGTGTAGAGTTTACAAAATGTATTTTACTAATAAACATAGCATAACAGAAACTATGGACACACTGGTGAGTCTTTAGCTGTGTGGTATTGAAATGTACATTCATCAACATCATCATCAAACTCCATTTGAGTGAGGGCTTGAGAGGCTCAAATCCTCTCTTGCAAAAGCCCTGGACAGAAACCCTGCTGTCTTACGTAGTGTTTACATGTCACCTGTTACGATCATCAATAGTGCTAGATGTTACAATCAAACTTGATGTCAAGATGTCACGTTGAAGCACAATCAATGATTGTAATTGCTGAGGATCTTGAAATCGTCTTTTAATAAGATGATCGTATAAAAGTAGCTAGATCTAGTTGATAATACGATCATTCAGAATGTTGCCAGTTGATAAGAGGATCATCTAGAAGTTGCCAATCGCTAAGTCGATCTAAGTATGTTACTATATTCAATGAAGAAACTTCTCTTCATCTAAAACAAATGCTTTAATTCAAAACTTGGAAAAGCTATTCACAAATAATTACAGTGGTTAAATGTACTTGAATAGAACAGAATAAATATAATTCTGCTAAATAAATGATCTACACAATAAAGTAAAATATATGTCTGAATCCTAACATGTTCCGTATGACACTGGCGCCAATCTAGAATCTTTTCCCGGGTATAGCATTGTCACGTGTCTAACATTCCCTCGTTGCAATGCCAACCAAATAAATGCAGCTCAATGTACAATAATTAATACTTTAAACCAATCATATTTATTTCCAAACATGATCCTGCTGCGTGATAGAAAATTTCCCCGAGGTAGCTAAAATTCTGCCGACAAGCTAAATATAGACTATTGCTAAATGTAGATACAGTGTACGTGACATCACCATACAGGTTGAGAATTTTTGGTTTCCCGAAGCTGTTGAGGCGGAGATCAGCAAGTCTGAGGCAGTCAAGAAGAATATGAGACACAGTTTTCTCTTCTTCGCAGCGTTGGAAAGCTTTATGAACATCGCATTATAAACCACAAGAAAACAAATAGTACTGATGATAGTAATAGTTTATGGCAAGTACATGAAAATGTTCGGTATATAAGGGTGCGGGTTGTATAATTTTTTTTTTAAAATTTGGAACTTGTGTTGGGTATACACATGTGCAGGGTATACATGTATGCGCAAAAATATGGTAACAATATTGTAATTTTGCAAGGTTTATCTCCCATTTTCTGTATTAAAATTAATAATAAAATTTGCACTAATTGGTTAATTTTTTGTGTTGTCAATGAATAATTGCTCAAATTTTCAACTTTATCCCAGAATGGGAAGTGGGGGACAAAAATAAGACAGATGGAGAGAGTTAATCTAAGCTTTGTAATAAGGATCTATTCATCTCTGTGATATCATTAACAAATAAATTATAGTGGAGAATATTGAGGAGCAGGCTGTTTTTGTTTTTACAATAGCAACCACTATGTACATTGAATGTGTCAGAATATTGACTTGCATAGTATAATAAACAGTAATTACTACGTGATAAATGTTAAATTGTAGTTTTTTAATTTACAGGCAGCCAACACAAATAGAGTGGAGGTATGATGAAGATGGAAACAGAGTCCGAGTTTCTTTACGGACAGGCAGAGTTATCCCAATTAGTAAAAAAGCCTTAGATCTGACAGAAGATTTTGTGGACAAAAATGATTATATAGGTAACTAATGTTTCATAAAAGTACAAACCTGTGTATTAACAATGGTGATTACCATGGCTTCAAACTTAAACAGAAGTGTTTGTCAAAAAATATACCATTGCAGAGGTAGTGAGATTTTCATTTGAAGCTTTAAGGCCACTTTCTAAATTTTAGTTCTAAATTATAAATATATAAAAATATGATAGTAAGCAGCTTTCCTTCTGGAAAGACAATTGTCTGGTATTGCAAAGTGTCCTATTCATAGGTGGTACCTGAATGGTTTAATTCTTGTCAATCACAAGTGAAAAGTGTTTATTTTTTTTAAAGATGCCATTTTACAATGAGTTTTAACAAGTAATTATAACTCTCAATACTTAGTAATGAGGGTTATAGTAAGTTCTAGAACTATAAATATGATGGTTTACTTGCTAAATAAGTGATCTGGAGATGGAAATACATTTTTGAATGACGTAAGAAATGTCATTTTTTTGTTTGTGCTGAGTTTAAGATTGCATATTGAATTTATGCTTACTTTAGGGTTGGGGATATACTGACAAATAAATTTTTATATTATTGTTAAAAGGACAAGGATATAGCTTGAAGGGAGTTAAATGGATTTATAGATTTAATTTCGTGGAAGTTTTCCAAAGTATTAAAATATAGAGCTTTAAGAATTATTTTAAGCATTAAGGCAGTGCTTATTCTTTAAAATGTATTTATAGGTTTAGGGATTTATACTATTAAAAGATCTAGAGTTAGTTGCAGTAGATTACAATTGACTGTACAATATTTGATACCATTATCTGAGGGTTATCAGAGTGTTTTTAGCGACCTCTGTTTGTCCGTCCCATTTACATCACGTAAACTGGAAAAGATATTGAAAATCTGACATCATAATATTTTAGACCATTCAAAGTTCTGATGCACTGGCTACTTTTTTTCTTTTCTGAAAGTGAAAAATAATTTTTTAAATCAATTATGCAAGCTGTTTTTTCATAAAAATACAGCATTTTTACAACTATTAACAGTAACAAACTTTTTTTCTTTTCTGAAAGTGAAAAATAATTTTTTAAATCAATTATGCAAGCTGTTTTTTCATAAAAATACAGCATTTTTACAACTATTAACAGTAACAAACACTGGAGCCTATTTAGTAAGGGAGATGACTATTTACGATATTTTAAACACAATGGTTCAAGATTTTTTACAAAAAAATTTTTTGTTTACAATTTTATTGCTAAATTGAGTAC